TCTCCTTTCTGCCTGGAATGTAGATGTGATGGCTGGAGCTGTAGTAGCTATGCCACAGCATGAGGATGAATCAAAATGGTACCACCTTGGCTGCTGCTGGAACAACAAAGACATGGACCGCCCATTCCAGACCTCTCAGTAGGAGAGGCAGCCTCCCCGCATGCTGGACATAAGCTGCCACAGCTGGGGTTTCTATCACCAGTAGCGTGTGGTAGAGACAGTAGATGACCAACAACCCCTCTTCTTCCTTCTGGGCCCACTAGACCAAGCCCCAGCGTCCTACATGAGTGTGGCATGAGACAGAGCTTTGTCCCATTTCTGGGCCCAGCCCAGGGACAGAGCCTCATCATAAAGCAGCAGGGCAGAGGGAGGGGCTTGACCCCCACCGTGTCCTGGGGGGAAGTCACCTGCCCAGGCCTGACCTCTACACCAGTCTTCAGGGGTCACTCCAGAACACAGAGCTGAACGCCGTCCTTGCCCTTGCTCTCACCGTCTCTCCTTCCACACATGTTCCTCTTCCCCTCACCCAGACCTCAGGAGTCACCTCTGGGGGCCCAGCTGAGCTCACACGCGACAGTCCTGTCTGCCCCAGCAGACTAAGCTTCATGGGTCTCCTGCCGGCAATGTGGCACAGGTTGACCAGACTGGGCCAGCTCTCTGGCTGAATGGGACAGAGCCAGGGCACATGCAGGAGCAGCGCAGAGGAGACAGAGGCTACTGCCTGGTTCTCACAGGAACGTGCAGACAGGACTCCAATTAAACCATCGCATAATTAGAAGCTGTCCCTGGCCCAGGGGAGCAAGGAGCTGTGGTGAAGATAATTACCGATGTATAGAAAACCCAGATGCCAGGAGTGGGGGGCAGCTGGTTCCAGGGTAGGGGGCTCTGCCTCCCAGAGGGACACTGGCCACACCACTCCCCATGTGCCCAGCCTGCACCACTGTCACCACTGTGTAGTCACCTCCACCAGGTATAACAGGGAAAGGGGTGAGACCAGCGGCCACAGGTCTCTGCAGGTCAGCTTCTTCTGTTGTCTCCAGAGATGGCCTGGGACTATGAGTGAGTGGTGTGTGTGCGTGTGTGTGGTGTCCATGTGGTAGGTGTGAGCACATCTGTGAGGTCTGTGCTCTCTGGCCGCAGGGAGGGAACAGAGCACCCAGTGAACCCCTAGCTTAGGAGAGGAGGCTGCAGGGCCAACTGGGAGCCAGGACCGAGGGAATCCGCTGTGTGAGCACTGGACATGCATGCAAGGGAGGACATCCATAAGTGTGACTCTCATCCCTGAACTTGAAGGGAGGCAAGGACTGACAAGGAAAATAGACCATCCTGTTTTAACACTGCCAAGGGCTGGCCCTGCTCCTCCTGTGCTCTGTGGGTACCATCCCTCCATCTCACAGGCCTGAGCCACGGGCAGAAAGTCAGGTGAGTAAGTGGAATCAGGGGGCACAGAGAGCAGGCCCTGGAGCACAGGAGTGGAGAGGCAGAGCTCAACGCCCTGCTGGGCCTAGGAGGCAGACTATACTCCTAGACCTCAGTTTCCCCAAGCGGAGAGGAAGCTTCCCAGCCGTGATTCCACCTTGCTGGGCCCCAGTCCGTCTCCAATGGGCCAGATGAACAAGGGAGCCTTGCACAGACGCACTGGGAGAAAGACAAGTAATCACTGATTGCTTCTGGGTAATATTCTGCCAGAAGTGTTAACATTAAGATTTCTTAATCTTAAGGAAGACTTAAAGACAGTCCAGCATCAGGAACAGGCCTCTGAGATCACTTTAGCTCACATTATTTCAACATCTCCAGAAGAGAAACAGTTTAATCAGGCCTCTCTGACTTTCGAATACATAGCCGCCCCTACCAGAAGCCCAGACACCCAGCACAGACTACAGAAGGGTATAAGGCCTGCTCGCTATCTGCACCAGCCAGTGCTGGCCCGACATCCCGACGCACATGCTGACGGCAGTGCCCTGGAAAACTGCAGTCACAGGATGGTGCGAGGCAGGCCTTCCTCCTGCCAGCCCTGGGCAACAGCAAGGGGCCACATGCAGACAAGATCCAGGCGGCCACCAGCACCACCACGAGCAAGGCTGTATCACTGCTGTTGTGCAAGGGAACCTCTCAGAAGCAACGTGCCATTGTCTGTACGACACTCGTCCCGTCATAGCTCACTGGCTAGCTGGGAGCTGGGGCTCTGCCTATGCCCCGACCCCACCCTGGCTGAGGCTGCCAGCCACTGACCTCCCTCTCAGCTCAGCAATCTCACAACCCCTAATTTAACTCTTGCTCAACTAACATCGACTAAGACGGGCAATGGCCCAGCGAGGCAGATGCAAGCACAGGCCCACATGCAGTTGGGACACTGCCATCCTCTAATGACCGATACATCAGTGTGAACCCAGACACAGGGCCCACAGGGCCCCATCCCAGAGTCCGGCCACTTCCCAGGGAGCATGCACATTCAGTAGCCAAAGAAACTGCAGGAAGGCCAGCAAGTGGCATGGAGGATAAGGTAGCTGGATTCCACATGGCCAACTACATGGTTCAAGTCCCAGACCGGGCTTGAAAGGCACAAGTACATGCATGTCCAAAATCCTGAGAATGGATGAGAGGGAACTGTAACTTGGCCATCTCCCCTGGGAGGCAGGAGGGTTGACTTCGTACTTTTCTTCCCTCTCCCTCTGGCAATCATGCATACCCTATAACAAACTTTAAAAAAACTGCAGGACCGAGGGCTGCCCATGGGACTGGCTCCCTCACTCACTCCCAACTGCAACCTGAGTCACACTGAGACTTGGCCCACCCACCCCAGGGGCAGTCTAGACCCCACAGCCCATACTGGCAGAGAAAGAAGAGCATGCCAGGAGAGAAATGTGAGAACCAAGAAAGTCAAGCCCCCAGGGAGACCTTCATGTCCTCTGGATGCTGGTGAGCACACCTGAGGGCAGAGCTGGCACCCTGGGCTCTGTTGGGCCCATCTAGGTCGTTCTGGTCTCATTCATCGGTTCAAACCATCAGTAACACCTGCTGGCTCCTAGCCCAGGGCTGCCAACATAGCAGGATGACAGCAAAGACCCCTTGATGGGTGAGGATGTCGGATGATCAACACAAAACACAGGCATGTCATAGGCCAGGCGCAGAAGGTGCGAGAAGATAAATGCAGGGAGCAGAGAAAGAGAGTCCTAAGGTCTGGGAGCACAGTGGGCAGGCAGAGGGTGCCTGAGCAGACACCTGGATGTTGTAATCCAGAGCCCAGCCTGACCCACAGCAGGGCCTCAGTTCTAATAACTCTGCTGTGTTGACCCAACACCCACACCATGCTGGTGGTGATCAACTGTCAACATGTACCCATCTGGGGTGGGGACCTCCTAAAATCCTGGTATCAAGCCCAGCCCAATCGAGGCTGTCTCCTCAGGATCCATGCCCACCAGGATCCTCAGAATGGGACTCTATCTGGACAGTCTTGCAGATGTAATTTGTTAAGAGGACACATTGGGATAGAGGACCCAGATCCACTGATGCTGTCCTCATGAGACAGACACAGGGCAAGGTCTTGTGACCACAGAGATGGGCACAGGAGTGATATGGCCACAAGCTGAGGAACCCAAGGATACAGAACGGGTGAAAAGGGGCCCTTACCCAAAGCCTCTGAAGGGAGTGTGGCCCTGCTGCCCCTGAGATTTCAGACTTCAGGCCTGTAGGGCTTAAGATCACATGTGTTGTTTCAAGCCCTCCAGCCAGTGGTAACTCGTTGGGTATCCCCAAGTCCCCAAGAAATGACAGAAGGCAGCAGCCAGAGGAGTTGAGCCTGGTTCAGACCCACAGACCAGGAGACAGTCCTTGGGAACATCCTACGGGATGTCTGTAGTCACTTAGTGTTCCCTGGGCCTCCCCATCATGGCAGCTTGTAGCTGCCACACTCAGTGCAGACAGGACAGAGCAGGCAGGTCAAGTCCTACCCTGGGGAAGGGACCTGGGGAGCCCATGGCCATGGCTCAGGAAGGCTGTTCACTCTCAGGCCTTTCACTTGCTGTCCCCTTGGTGGGCTGTCCCTTGCCCCTAAGCTCCCTCTGTGCTGGTGGACTCTACACTTCCTGGAAATCCATGCAGTCTACTCCTACCTCCCCACCCCCATCTATGTGCCAGCCAACACTAGGCCCAAGACAATATCCATGGCAGAGTCTGTGGGCCTCGTGCCCAGTGGTGCCTGCCAACCCCCACCTCCATAAGGGAGGGCACCAGCCCAGACCAGAGCTCCCCAGGGGGCCCTGCAGACTGGCGCCACAGCACCTCCAGCCCCAGGAGGCTTTATCTGTTTAGCCTTCAAGTCAGGAAAATAAACTCAAGGCTTCAGAGTTTAAAAGCGTGAAAATTACTGAGCTGTAGGCCCTCTTAAGTTCATTACCAAGTGATTCATGTTCATTCTACAAAGATTAGAAAATACGCACACACAAGTTACTACAACCATTCACTCAGAGCTGCTGTTTTGGGAAGCTGCTTCCAGATGTCTGTCCATGCAAAGGATTGGTTGTCAGGGAAAAAAAACAAACAAACTGGGTGACCTCCCCTCTATCTGGAGGTCCCAGCAATGTCTAACAAGTAAAACAACTGCCACACAAATGCTCTGCTCCAGAACTTGTGTCCTGCTGCCCCAGGGACCAGCCTGTCCCAGGGCTGCCCTGGCTGGGCCTCAGGACTCTGCTCCAGTAGAGGAAGCCAAGGTGCCAACCCTCCCATTTGTTTCTCAGGCCACTTTCATTGGATGATTCTGGGTCTATCAAGTCAACAGGACACGCCCCTCCAGCCCAGCTCCAACCTATGGTTCCTTTCAGGCCTTTCTTAAAGAGGTCCCTCTGACCAGGTCCACACTGGTCCTTCTCGTCCCTCCGAACCCCAAGAGCTCCTCTGTTCTGGCCCCCTCCCTCAGTGCCCTCCTCCACAGGAGGACTCCAGGCACCATACAGAGCACCACAAACCACGCCAACCTACGGCCAGACCAGAGTCAGAAGTAGGTTTTCTCTTAAAATAACATTTAATAAATACAAAATGACTATAAAAACTCCAGAGACTGTACAGAAAAGTGTGAAGCGGAGAGTGAAGGCCTGCCTGCTGGCTGCCCCGCTGCACTGTCTGTGTCCCCACAGGCTGTCCCAACACTTGCTTTACTGTGGACACCGATACCACAACTACCTCTGCAGTGCTTCTCATGAGCCAGGAGCACCTGGACTGTGTGCCTGCAGCAGATGTGGCCTGGTGGTGGCTGGTGCTCTGGGGACAGCTGAGCTAGCTGAGGGCATCCAGGACCTGTTACTGTGCTCTGTCCTCCTTTTTTCCTAATTTGCCCCCTGCCTTTCAGAGTGTCCACGCTGTGCCTGAGGACACCTCGTCTGTACTTATCCAGGGTAGGAAGCCCAGGGCACCATTTGGGGGCAGGAGACACAAACTGCTGGTCCTCAGGCTGACATCTCCCACTCCTACCCTGCCTGCCCTCAGTTCATGGGCAAGTCCCTACATTGCACTAGGGGACACCTGAGGAGCACCCCAAACTTCCCACATCCTGAACATGAGGATTCAACAGCAAATGTTCTCACAGGCAGACAACCAACCCACACGAGGTGACCTGCTCACAGAGCAGCTGAGGCCAGGGCCAAGCCATGCCTGGGCGGAGTCTGCTCAGTCCAGGGGACTGCTCTGCTGTTCGCCACCAGGAGAGCACACAGGTGGTGAGTGGTAGGCCCTGAGTGGTGGAGGGAGTATGGGAGGGGCCCCAGCCTCGGAGGGAGAGTGCAGGCCTATGGGGAGGATGGCAGGCAGGGGAAGGCAGTGTGCTTCAGAACTGGGCCTTGGTGTCACAGAAAGGGCAGCTGGGAGTAAACAATGGCACCCATAGAGCATTCAGGATTACACCTTTCGTGACGACATAGATGCCTCCACCTGGTCAAGTAAAGAAACTGTGCTGTGTCTCTGAAGGTTGTTGAGCAGATGGCCAGTTCCCCCCAAGCCCACTGCGTCACTGTCCTGGGATGAACCAAAGGACAGGCCCTGGGTGCAGAAGAGGGTGCAAAGCATTTCACTATTCCCAATACTCTGCTCCTCACTTGCCCCAAGGAGTCAACAAGACTGGGGAGGGGTGTCCTCGGCCAGTCCCCTCTCCAGATGCATCTACTAGTGTGAGGTCCACAGGGCTCAGAGCTGGTCATTGCCTTCCAGCTGCATCTGCTTGGCCAGCTGCTGCCCAATAACCAACAGGGGGCTGGCTTTGTAGGCCGCACTGGCCAGGAGCTGCTGGAACCGAGTCCTTTCTTCCTCCCTAGAAAAAGAGATCAGAGGTCAGCAGGTGTAGGGCAGGATGTCCAGGCCCTTGGCCAGGACCAGCACTCGGCATCCCCATGGCACAGCCTGGCCCCCTACATGCAGTGGACAGCAGGGGCCCAGGACCACCATGGGACAGTTGGCTGCCTGGGCCCTCCAGCCTCCACACCCACCCCTGGAGTTCCAGTGGGGCCCTTGTCCCACTGCAGGCGGGAGGGAGCTGACAAGGCTGCTACAAAGGCAGGAGGCTATGCACGAGGGGCAGTAGCAGCAGCTGCAGACCATGGCCTCAAGCAAGCAGCACCTCCCTACACATGATCCAGACAGACAAGGGCCAAGAGCAGGAGTATGAGCGAGGCCTGGCAGCATAGCCCTATGGACCCTGATGCCTCAGTGATGGCCCAGCATGCCCTGCCCTATCCTAGTACCACCCCAGTTCCCACTGACTGCCCCATAAATGAAGGCCTATAGGTGGATACCCATAAGCTAGGAAGTCAGCTCCACCTTGGTTCAATGACATCTGCATCATAGTTGACCAGTGCTCACAGGCATGAATGCAGGGTACAGACCACCCTGAAACCAACCCCAGGAGCAGGAAGCACATGCCCAAAAGCACAATGGGCTGCAGGCCCACTGGGCAGCTGCAGGTCCACAGGGCACTTGCTGCCCACCAGTGGCCTCAGAATGGACAGGTCCAGTCCATTCAACCCCCTGGACACCACTGTGGATATCCATGAGAAATGGACAGGGAACAGACTGGCTGCACCACAGGCAGTGAGTAGTTGCTTCCTTCTTCTCGCCCAGAAATCGCCCACAACCAAGCGCCACTTGATTGGGAAACCAGAAGACCATTAGCCACAGTGCCTCGAAATGCAGAACCATCAACCAGGGTGTGTGGGAGGAGGCCAGAGGTCCAGATGCAGACAGAGCTGTGCATTCAGTATACTCTGGGAGAGCCCACTCCCCCACCTAATGACAGAGGGAGCCCAGGCAGCTGGCACCAGGAAGGGCAGGGGAAAGAGGCAGGAGGGAGAAGAGAGAAGAGCTGCTATGGCCTACAAATGGCCTTCAGATGCAATGGGAAGGAAGGACTCGCCTCACAGAGACAGGAAGGTAGACAAAAAAGGAACAGGCATAAAAATCTATAAAGAGACAATAGAAACTCAGGGCTAAAAGTTATCTAGAGTAGAAACAGTGGTGAGAAGATGATAGGAAAGACGGATCAAACAGATCCAACCAATGCACAACAGGCACCCCTGAAGGGGACCCAAAATAATGACATAGAGAAATATTTGAAGCTGTAACTCAATACAAATTTTCAAACAGCAGTGGGACAAAGAGGTTTTAATCTATAAGGTGAAAAAAAATCACAACAAGCCTCAGTAAAAACTGACACAAAATGTTCTATACTAAAAAATATCTTAGCAAAGTTACTTCAAAGGCCAAGAAGAAAATCACTCTAGTAGCAAACTGAAAAATCCTCCAAGGGTGTAAAATTCAGGCTGCCTCATGAGACTTCCCCAAAGCAAGTGCAGTGGAAGCTGGGCCATGGCTATAAGGAAGCCAAGAAAGTGTGGCCTATGGATTCCGTGCCTGAGATGACAACTGGATACAAATTTCTGCAAAAAGAGCCAGCCCTGCTAACTGCAGGCTGGTCCCACTGACAGGGCGCTGAGGTGCAGCCAGCAAAGGGACTTCAGCCACAGATCCCATGGGAACATGCATCACATCCACATCACCCCAAATACTGCCAACTGAGGGAGGGGATATTCTGCTCACGGCCTCACTACCAAGCAGGGGGTTGCGTCCCAATCCCCCACCACAGAAGCATTCCTAGTGGGCAGCCAGCTGCCTCACTCAAGGCCCAAGTGCAGAATGCTATTTCTAACTTCTCTCTTAGTAGAAATTTTTAAAACATCACATCATTTAAAATGGTTCCGCAGCCGAGGTCAACATTTAAAGCAAGCCAAGAAATCAGAGCGGGGTCAGAAGTTCTCTTGCAGGTCAGGTGTACTCACAGGAGCTGGCGTCTCTGGGCAGCGCTCATCCGGCTGAGCTCCGCGGGCCGGGGCTTGCTGCTCACCTTGCTGTGGACACACAGAAGCCAGGTCAGCACAATGCTTGCTGCACTAAGAACCTTCCCTGGCAGATGCTGGTACCTCCCTGCTCAGAGCAGCCACTGCGCTGGCCCAGCTGACCCCATTACCACAAAACCTCAAGTCCAGGCACCACTGCCCAATGGGCATTTGGCCACTGTGCCAGGCTGGGCATCCATAAAGAGGGCCTGCCCCTGGCTCCTGACTCCCGCTAGTTTTCACCACACACTGAACCTTTCCCCCACCCCACCCCACCCAGAGGCCCCCCTGACTGAGGCCTATGTACTGGCAGACTGGGTGGAAATGGCCCGCTGGGTAGAGACCCCACCCTGCAAGCACAGGCAAGTCCCTGCAAGGTAGAGAACATGTTCCCGCCCTGCCAACCCATCTCTTTAGAAAAGGTACACAGCTATTTTTAAGCTGGTCCCATGGCCCAGTTATTAATGGAGCTGGATCCCACATGGCTGACTGCAGTTCAAATCCTGGCTCTAAGAAGCTTGAAAAACATACCAGGTGTGTGTGCATGTTTGCCTCAAATCTTGGCAGGGTAGAGAACAGAGAAGTGATTATGGCATGATCGCACCCCCACTGGGGGGGAGTGCTTTCTCTGCACACGTGCCCTCTGGGAGTTAAAACGAGTAGGATGCTGGTGCCAGGAATTCCCCACAGTGCCTGCCCTGACTATACCACTGAGGACTCTAGCTGAGCGCCCTGGGTGCCCGCACTGAGCCAGGAATTGCCCACTGGTCCCTGACACTCCCTGCCATCTTCCATACCAAGCTGGACCTCAGCTGGTGGCAGGAACAAGGTGAGAGAGCACCCTCCATGGCTCCCCATAGGGCAAGCACTTGTCTCTGGCATCACCCCATATGGGCTCTCATATCCCTGTAGACAAAGCACACCAGGGCAGCCCCACCCACTGGCCAAACATCAGAGACCCTCACTTCAGACCTGGGCAGAAACAGGATGGGCCCTGTGGGGAGATCACACTAGACTTTCTTCCCATGCCTCTGTGGCCTGGCCTGCTGATGACAAAGGTACCACTCAGTGACAAAGAGAGCCAGGCAGGGTGGGAAAACTGCTCAGAGCCCTTGGGCTCACACTTAAATTTAGCCTCCAGACCAGGAGACCTGATCTTTTATTCATGTTTCTTTTAAAATATGAATGAGAGACTTTTTGTGTCTGCTCAAAATAGTGCCTGAGCCTCACTTCCCTTCAGTCCCACCCCAGCCCATGTGGGAAGGGCTCTCAGGGCCCACCAGGATACCAGGCTTCTCGTGCCTCCCAGTCCTCCACTAGCTCAGAGCTCCAGCTGGACCAGGGTACTTGGAGGTGCTCTGGCTCAAGGATGGAAGTGCCCTTCTGCCCACAGGGGCTCGACCAGCCTCAGAGCACTGATGCCTTCCCTTCAGAACCTCAGGCAAGCCCCTCTGCCCCAGGAGACCTCAGTTTCTCCACTATAAATTGTCCCTTTAGGGCAGGCTGTGAAGATGCCACTGGACACCACGGTGGACACAGGGCTGCAGGCTATGAAGTCTCTGTCCCTCTCCCAAGCCTATGAGGGTGTAATGAGCCCACACAAGAGAGCTCCAAACAGTTAGAGCTCAGAAACACCAACAGGGCAGAGCCCTGGTCTTAAGATGGAGCAGTGAGGACAGCCCCATACACCCCTGCAGAGGAGCCATCATCTCTGACACTGCTGTGGCTAGCTCTCTACCAGCCATGCTGGCCTGAGACCTGGGGAGGTGTGGACTCTGCACTAGCCCAGGGGTGCTCTGGGCATCAGGGGCAGCAGGTCCGAGGCATGGCCAAAGCAGTGGGGTCTCATGGCCGCGTACCTACACCCACTGGCCTGGGGCTCTCTCTGGCCAGCACAAGACCAACTTCCTAGAGAAGCCCATGTTACCAATGAGCAGGTCACTGGCAGTGGGACTCTCTACAAATGATTCTGGTCTCAGAAAGCAGCTGTGACCCCTCCAGCCAGAGCTTCAGGGCCGGGACTGGGACTGTGCAGGCCAGGTTGGCTATGCAGCACTGCCTGCCCAACTCAGAGCGTCAGAATCCCCCACCCACTCTGCATGGCAAGCATCACTGGGCCATGCATGGACCTACACAGAGTGGATGGACTAGGGCCTTAATGACTGGGGAGCCTCAGCATATCCCCTCCATCTGCAACCCCAGGACATGCCTGGAAGGGGCAGGGAGGACAGAAACACTAGTCAGCCATGAGTGTGCATGGCAGGCTTGCCTCAGAAAGTCACCACCTGGTGTGTACTGCCATGAATGGGACTTCTCACCAGGAGGACTCCTGCCCTGGGGAAGGCAAGGGAGAGGGCATCAATCCAAGGCTCCAAATACTACCTGTGAAGAACAACTGAGGCCAAGCCTAACCTAGGAGCTGAAGACCAGGAGACAGTGGTCACGGAACCCCAAACTTTTTTCTTTTTTTTTGGAGAGATTTTTGCTATAGGGCGCACGTGCTCGCCAGAAAGACAGAGAGAGACAAAGAGACAGAAAGCGAGAAATTACCCCCCCCAGGGGGGGATGGCCACGCCGCAATCCCTTCTCCATTCTCCTCTTGGGATCTTGGGCATGCACACACACACGCGCGCGGTGTGAGTTTAAGCCACCAGGTCTGGGACTTGAATCACAGTCAACTACATGGGAGTCCAGTGACATAGCCCTTATGCTAATTGCTGGTCCCAGGACCCCAAACTTTTGACATGGGGTGGGATGAAGGGACCAGAGACAGAGCACACCAGCCTGCTGCCTAGTGACAGCTCTGAAGCACGTGTAGCTCAGTCACACTTGGTCCATAATGGTCATGAGGCCAACTCCACAGGAAGGAGACACTTGGAAGTGCCCTGCCTCAGCCTCCCCTGGGCCAACAGTAACCCACATCTTTTCACTATAGTAAACCACGACCGTGACGGTGACAGCGACCCATGAGTTCTGGGGGGTCCTTCTAAGAGTAAGTGGTCTTGGGAACCCCCACACTTGCAGCTAGAGTCAAAAGTGAAGATGGTCTTAGAATTTGGCCCCCTAACAAATACACTCACACACACTGTTCTGATCTCTCAGAGGTCAGGATGCCTTAGTCTGTTAAGGGTTACCTAACAGAAATACCTGGGAGTGGGTGATTTTACAAAGAAACATAGGTTTGCTCAGCCTTTGGTTTAAATGTTCAGAATCAACTACTGAGAGGCTGCAACATAGCAAGGGTAGCATCGTAAGCAGGGCAGAGCGTGGTCTGTGTCCACATGTCCTGTGCCTGTGTACTGTTGTAAATGTGCCTGTGAAATGTCTTAAAAAGAGGCCTTGTAGGTCAGCAGGTGGCGTGGTGAAGGTACTGGGCTCTCATGTGGCTGACTATGGGCATGGTTCGAGTTCTGGACCTAGAGGCTTAAAAATCATGCTAGGGGACTGGCAGGTGACATGGTAGTAAAGAGCACTACCCACATGGCCGACCATAGTTCAAATCCTGGACCTGGCGGCTTGCTTTCTCATTTTTTCTTTCTCTCTCTGTCCCTCTCTGATCAAATTAAAAATAAAAATAAAGGAAGTTAAATAAAATAATTCTAAAAAAAAGAAAGAAAGAAAGAAAGAGAGAGAGAGAAGGAAAGAAAGAAAGAAGAAAAGAAAAGCATGCTAGGTGCATGTGCGTGCATGCAAAAAACCCACACAAAATCCCAGAAGAAGGGATTGCAGTGTAGCCATTTCCCCTGCTTTGTCACTTTCTCTCTCACTGCCCCTATCTGTCTCTCGCAAGAGCATGTGCCCTATGGCCAAAAAAAACCTTAAAAAGGGGAGGGGGGGGCTCATGTTCTGTTTTTATGAACCATCAGAACTCTTGGGGCACCCACCCTAACCCCCCAATATCCTCCCAAAGTCCTCACCTTCGGCACCACAATCAAATCAAGTTATCACCCTCTTAATCCCACTACAATGGCTGACACATGAATTTGGGGGTATCCATACTATAGCAGAGAGCCTCGGAGCAGGAGGCATATTTGGCACAGGTGTTTGTTCAGAAACTCTTCATTACAAGGAATCAGGCTGCTTGGGGACATGGCTAATGCTAGGATGGGATCCAGAATGCCCGAGATAGGCTTGGAGCACCCTGAAACACTGAGAGCAAGGAGGTGCTAAAAACCACCCCACATCAATGGGACACATCAAATGGACCCAGGAGCCAATGAAAGGACTCCCAGCAGCCAAGGCTGGGATAGTTCTGGCAGCCAATAAAGTCGTACTGGACAACAGCCCAAAGTATAAAATAAATATTCAGAGTCCGTGCTGAGATAAATCAATGGCTGATAAACAAATGGGGTAGAAGAGTAACTGTCCTGTGCTGAAGAGTCCAGTAATTGGGCTGGCCCCATCGTTTAGTGGTTAAGGGAGCCACAGTCCACATGGTTAACAACTTGGTCCAAATCCAAGCCCTGGTGCTTTGAAAAACATGCAGGGCCAGTGTGCATGTATGTCCAAGTTCCTAACAGAATGGAGAAACGGAAGAGAAGGGATTGTGGGGTGACCATGTCTCACCAGGGGTACTTTTTCCCTTTCTGTTTCCCTCTGGTGAGAGCATGTATCCTTTGGCCACTTAAAAAAAAAAAAAAAATCAGAAAAGTGAATGCAGACACCCTCTTCAAGGAGGTGAAGCCCCATGCCCTGTCACCATGCACTATGCAGGTGACATCCTCCCAAGAACACACCGTGGGTAGGGAGGGAACTGTGCAGTGAGAAGCCTGAGCGCGACCTCAGGTGGATGTCACCCTCACAGTGGGAGCAGGTAGTGCTGTGTGCCTTGGTATGTGACATGGTGGCACTTTGCCTCTGTGGGCTTCCTCCCCACAACCACAGCCCCACCTCTGTTCACAACAAACATCAGATGCATGCCAGTCGACCCCAAAAAGCCTGGGGATTTTGTCGGAGTTGGCCATGTCATCAGAACCTGAGAATCAGAAACTCTTGACCAGGGAAACCCAAGGAGACAGGATGAATAGATGTCTTGTATGTCATAGGTGAGATCCTGAAACTTAAAGTAGGGGCTTCCACCCTGGAAAGCCAGCATGGGACAACCTGGCTATGCAGCATACCCCTGCCCGCCCTTCCCTCCCACGAAGCGTGGGAGATCCCCAGATGTGCCACTGCCTGCAGCCCCTCTTTCTCTCCAGACAGAAATCCAATAGGAAAAAGTTGTTTTATAAAAGGCAAAATTAGAGACACAAGTAAGTGATGAACACCTAGCAACCGGGGTAGCACAGAAAACACCAACCCCTTCCCACATGCCTCAAAGCAGGCATGGGCATCCACACCCAGGCCAGGCAATCCGAGCCGCCTTTCATGGAGTACTCCAGCTGCCCCTACCCTGAACATGGGCATGACTCCACTGTGTAGAAGGCCAGTGGGGTTCTCAAGAGTCCACAAACCCCGGGAACCAGCAGTTAGCGTAATGGCTATGTCGCTGGACTCCCACGTAGTCGACTGCGGTTCGTGTCCCGGACCCGGTGGCTTAAAACTCACGCCAGGCGCGTGTGCGTGCGTGCCCAAGATCCCGAGAGGAGAATGGAGGAGAAGGGATTGCGGCGTGACCATCCCCCCTGGGGGGTGATTTCTCGCTTTCTGTCTCTATGTCTCTCTCTGTCTGTCTGGCGAGCGCACGCGCCCTACAGTGAAAATCTCTCAAAAAAAAAAAAGAGTCCACAAACCCCCATGCTGGCTAGAGGTATTTGTGTGGAAGCTTGTGTGCAGGGCCAGATCCCACTCCCCAGGGCTGGGTGCTGCAGGGTCTCTCCAAGGAGCACCCAGCCCACAATAGCAGGCAGGATTGCTGTGCACTCTAGGCGCCAGCTCTTGGGGAGAGCAGTGAGGAGTGTGTAATGCTCGTGGTGACTGGGCTTTGCCCCTTCCCTGAGTACATTTGCAGAACAGAGCACACGCATCCCCCCACTGAGGCCAAAGGCTGGGAGGCTGGGACTATGCCTCTGCAGTCAGAGCAGCACTCCACCAGTCCCTACCCCATGAGGTCATGCTTGGGGGCTAAGGCACCTGGAGGTCTGCAGTGTGATCCCCGCTCACTGTGCCCTGTGATGGCCCTGGACACAGAGCATATGCTCCCTGGTACACCACAGGCACAGTGAGGTGACAGGAGAGTGTGCAGTGCTGGGCAGGAGGATAGGGAAAGGAGACTGAGAAAGGGATGCTGGAGTCACCACCTGCAGAGGAACAAGAGTCCAGTGGGTCCCTGGCCAGGAGTAAGGGGAATGTGTGCAGGTGCTTCCATGCCACTACTGAGCATGCAGAAGCTACACATGAGGCGGGACAGGGAGCACCAACATAGCTGGTCGGCAGAACGGTGAATGAGCCAGACAGTGGGCCCACGGCCCTAAAACTGCCCTATGGACTCAACCAGAAGAGGGAGGCTTTCTATATCTAGACCAGGCTGGAGCCCAGACTCACCCTGCAGCCCGCGTTGGACATAAATCAGTGGCCCTATTCCCTGAAGAGCCCCCAGGCCTGGACACTCACCGCCTGGGGGGCCGCTGGTCATTGGCCTCCAACTCATGCAGCTCAGGTAGTGCATCCTTCAGGGGCTGTAGGTCACCCACTACCACTGTGGCACGCCGCTTTCGCTCCTCCCGACGCTTCTGCTCTGCCAGCTTTATGGCCTCAATTTCTGAGGAGAGGAACAAGGATTAGAGAGAACCCATGTGAGTCCCTGAGTCCCCGCATGGGCCATGCAGAGGCAGCAGCCCAAACTGGCAAGGGCTTACAGTGGGGAATCAGGAGCTGCAGGGAGCCTGCCTGTGCGGTGTGTCCTCTTCCCTGCTACCCCACACTGTGCTCATAGAACCTAGGGAAGGCTGCCCAGGGACTTCCCCTAGCCACAGAGTAGGGCTGTGTAATTACAGGGCTAAGTGGGGGCCGCCCAAGCATGGAATACAGGAAGGTGAGGCCAGCCATCAGCAGGCAGGGCCATAGCCTGAGATTCAATTTCCATTAAAAATGTACTTACTTTGAGCCAGCTAGGGGGTATAGTGGTTAAAGCAGCTGGAAGCCATGTGGTCAAGTACACAGTTCAAGTCCTGAATCCGGTGACTTGAAAAACACACCAGGTATGGGACCAGCAAATGACATGGTGGTTAAGGTGCTGGACTCTCCCATGGCTGACCAAGGTTCAAGTCCTGGACCTGATTACTGGCTTTCTCACTTTGTCTCTCTCTCTGGGAACCAGCAGTTAGCGTAACGGCTATGTCGCTGGACTCCCACGTAGTCGACCGTGGTTCGTGTCCCAGACCCGGTGGCTTAAAACTCACGCCGGGTGCGTGTGCGTGCGTGCCCAAGATCCCGAGAGGAGAATGGAGGAGAAGGGATTGCGGCGTGACCATCCCCCCTGGGGGGTGATTTCTCGCTTTCTGTCTCTATGTCTCTCTCTGTCTGTCTGGCGAGCGCACGCGCCCTACAGTGAAAATACTGGACTCCCACATAGCCTATCACAGTTCAAGTCCTGGACCTGGTGGCTTAAGGATTACACTGGGCTTCTGTGCATGCAAACCCAAAATCCCAAGAGGAGACTGGAGAAGGGATTGTGGCATGGCTACCCTCCATGGGGGGGGGTGCTTTCTCTGTGTGTGTGTCTCTTTCCAGCAAGCGCATGTGTCCTCTAGCACACATTTTTTTTTTAATGCACTTATTTCAACACATCTCATTAAATACACCTTCAAATATGCTATCTGCCTACATGGGTGGGCACGCAGATCTGGACAAGGTCCTGCTCTCCCAGGATGCAGCAGCAGAATGAGGGTCCTGTGATGCCCCCCTTCCCAGGGAAAAAAACCCGAGGAGAGCAACAGGTAGCTGCTCTCCAGTCATGCCTCCTGTCAGGCAAGTGGCCCATATGGCAAGGTCTGGAAGGCCACTGAGTAGCAGAGGTTTGGTTTTGCTCCAGCTGCTGACAAAGACCACCCAACTCCTGGTCCTCAGCAGCCCCCAACGCTGTGGGAGAGGGCTCAGAAGCTGTGCCTCTGGAATAGCCTGAACTATAAGGAGATGACCCAGTGCTTTTCAATCCTGCCTGGTATACGAGAAATAGTTTCCTCAGAATCTCATCGAGGCACCTCTTCCCAGAGAGCCAACATGCCATAGAGGGTGGAAGTGGCAGCAGAAGGAAGTGCAGGCTGCTCTGGGAGTAGAGAGGCCCCAAGGCCAAGGATCCAAAAAAGCAGAGCAAGACCTGTCCTTTCCAGGGAGACAGACAGGAACGCCCAGACACACAGAGTGGGGACGGGCCCAACTAGGGGCATCCAGGGTGTGCAGGGGTGGTTCAAAACAGACCTGGCAGCATGAACCACATCCACAATAGCCAGCGGTCCCAAGGCAGAAAGCCTAGTCACCACAAGATATGGCACAGCAGGACTGGACAAAATCCATGACCCTCTCAAAATCAAAGCTACAGCAAAACCATGAATATTACAAAGTTATATAACTAGCAGTTAATATAATGGCTATGTCGCTGGACTCCCATGTAGTCGACCGCGGTCCGCGTTCTGGACCCGGTGGCTTAAAACTCACACTGGGTGCATGTGCATGCGTGCCCAAGATCCTGAGAGGAGAATGGAAGAGAAGGGATTGCAGCGTGGCCATCCCCCCTGGAGGGTGATTTCTCGCTTTCTGTCTCTGTCAGGCAAGCGCACGCACCCTATAGCAAAAAAAAACTCTCCAAAAAAAGAAAAAAAAAGTTGTTCCTTGACAGAAAATCTAGAGTGAATATGGTAAATGCATCTCATGGCAGTACATCAGACGCACGCAGTTACGCTCAGAACAAGGAACGGATGCTGTGATCTCACAATGAGCCCAGCTGGCAACTCAATGCCCTAAAGAGGGCGGGAGAGGCAAGACCTTGCTGGGAGTGCCATCTTTGTCTCTCTTGCTCATGGAAGAAATAAAACAAAAAGCAGATTATAAACAACAGAAATTAAAAGTGTAGCAAAAGAGCCAACCATCCCAAGGGACCCACACAGAAGCAGTCCCAGGGAAGCTTGAGTGGAAAGCAGTGATTCAAACTAGCTGGCCATATTCCTGGGAAATTAAGCTGCATCTCCCCCTCACTACTCCTCCACGTTAATTATGCAGAAATTAAATACTACAAATAAATAAGAGTCAAAGGCCACTGTGAAAGCTGTTTGACTCCAAGAAAGAGAAAATTACAATCAGGAAGTCCAATTTTTACTTATAGGTTGGCAAGTTTTAAAAACTTTTACCAACATCAGAGTTAAGGAGAGTCTGGGAGCTGCCAGGTAGGTGGTTATTGGAGGACAACTAGGGAAGGAAAAGGAAAAGGTCAGGTACAACACATGGCCATCCCCTTCCCCCATGGGCCAAGGACTCATAGCACTGGAACATCTGGAAACGGGCCGTCTGATGGAATGTGGCAGCACTGCCCCGGACCCGGTGGCTTAAAACTCATGCCGGGTGCATGTGCGTGTGTGCCCAAGATCCCGAGAGGAGAACGGAGAAGGAACTGTGGCATGGCCATCCCCCCCTGGGGGGTGATTTCTCGCTTTCTTTCTCTCTGTCTGTCTCTGTCTGTCTGGCGAGTGCATGCACCCTATAGCAAAAAAAACCTCTCAGAAAAAAAAAAAAAACTATCCAATGAGAAGTCTTTATGACAAACAGTGCTGAAACAAATGAATATACATATTGCAAAAGAAAAAAAAAGAGACCTTGACCACTAACTCATACTACAAACATTAGTTCAAGAAGGATCAGAAACCTAAAAGTAAAAGCTAAAACTAAAAAGTTTTTAGATGATAGGAAAAATGTTCATGACTTGAGATTATGCAAAATTTTCTTAAACAGGACACACACAAACATAATAGCCTTATAAGGAAAAAATATAGAAAAGATTTCTCAAAATCACACTTCTGGGCCTAGCCTGGCGGCATGGTTGGAAGTAAACTAAACTTCAGAGTTGGAAGCTCTAAAGCTGAATGCAGGTTCTCACCCTAGGCTGGCCTGAAAACACACAAGATACATACTATACACAGATACCCAGGCTCCAGAGAAGCCATAACAAGACCCTATGGAAGGCATTTCACTCTCTTGTGTATGCACATGTGCTCTCTGCCACGAGTGAAAAAAGAAACTAAAAGAAAAATTAAACTTATGTTCATCGATAAAAAATAAGATGGACCCCCACATGTCATCTATAGTTCAAATCCCCAGCCCAGTCTACCTGAAACGCACTGGGCATGTGCATGAGTGCCCAAGATCCAAAAGGCTGGAAGGAGATTGTGGAATATCAAACCTTGTGGAGGGTGCTTTCCTCATGCATGCATGCACATCCTATCACGAATGAAAGAGAAAATGTGAAGAAAATGAACAGGGAAATCACAGAGTCTGGGAGAAAAAAAATTTGCAAAATATACACCTGCCCAAGGACTTGTCAGTAGATTATACAAAGAATTCATGAAGTTCATTAATAAAGGCAAGAAGCATCATGAAATGTGAACTTCACAGAAGATGAAGCACAAATGGGTAGTAAGCACATGAAAATGCTCTTTAATGGCAACAAAAATTACCACCACTACGATATACCATTTCCCCATCCCAGTCGGCCAAGACTGACGAGACCTACACCACACACATCGCAGAGCTGTAGAGCGAGACGCTTACATACCCACTTTGGAAAAATGTCTGGCAGTTGCTTATAAAACTAAACATCCACCTACCCTATGACCCAGCGTTCCATTCCTAAGAATTTACCCAAGAGAAATAAAATATGTCCACAGAAAGATTTGTGAAGAATGTTTGCAGCTGCGTGAATCACAGCTAAAAATGGGGAAAAGCCCAGGTGTCCATCAATAGAATGGCTAAGAAATGGAAATTCATACAGTGAGAGGCAAGGGCCACAGCAACGGTGACATACAGCCTGGACAGGTTACAAACAACATCCGAGCAGAAGCCAGATGCAAAAGTACTTTCTACATGATCCCATTTATAAGACGTCCAGAGCAAAAAAGCGAAACTTAAGAAAAAAAAAAAATGAGGTCAGACAGTGGTTACTCCCTCTGGGCACAGGGAATCTGAGCAATGGTGCTGGCCACACCCTGAAAGGGGTTGGGCTGCATAGACACATTCACTGTCAGAAATCACTGAGGATATACTTAAGATATGCATTTCATAGTATGCAATAAGATCTTCAAAAGAAAATAATATAAACAAGTACTGAACTCTAGCTGATTATTTATGGGAAAGTGTACTGATACCTCCAACTTTGGAATACAAAAAACACTCCAAGTATTGATGAACAGATAAAAAAGAATAGATGAACAGTCATGTGATCAAGAAGTAAGGGAGTAATTATAAAATCTGCTTGGTGAGTACAAGGGTATTACTAAAATTGTTCCCCCTTTTTCTGGGAAATTGTTCACAGTAAAATATCGAGTAGAGGCCAACAGGTGGCATGGTGGTTAAGACAGCAGATCCCACTGCTGACTCTGCAGTTCAAGTCCCAGAACTGGTGGCTTGAGAATCACACCATACGTGTATACATGCATACCCAAGATCCTGAGAGAATGGAGGAGAAGGGACTGCGGAGTGTCCTGGGGCAGGGGGCTGATTTCTCACTTTCCTTCTCTCTCTCTTTCTCAGGTGAGTGCACATGGCCTATGGCAAAAAATATTAAAATAAATAAATGAAGGGATTGCAGAATGTTCATTCCCCTGGGAGGTGATGATATCTCACTTCCCCCTTCTTTCTCTCCATAGCAAAAACAAACAAAAAAACCTGCAAGGAAAAAAATGTATATCATTTTTTAACATGTGAGAATCTTAAGAAAATATTCCAGAGACCAGCAGTTGGCATAATGGCTTTGTCGCTGGACTCCCATGTAGCCAACTGTGGTTCAAGTCCTGGACCTGGTGGCTTAAACTCACGCCGAGCACATGTGTGTGCATGCCCAAGATCCCGAGAGGAGAATGGAGAAGGGATTGCGGTGTGGCCATCCCCTGGAGGGTGATTTCTCGCTTTCTGTCTCTCTGTCTTTCTGGCGAGCACGTGCACCCTATAGCTAAAAACTCTCAAAAAAAAAAAAAAAAAAGGAAAATATTCCAGGGACCAGCAGATGGTGTAATGGCTACGTCGCTAGACTCCCACGTAGTGGGCTATGGTTTGAGTCCCGGACCAGGTGGCTTAAACTCATACCGGGCACATGTGCGTGCATACCAAGATCCCGAGAGGAGAATGGAGAAGGGATTGCGGCATAGCCATCCCCCCTGGGGGGTGATTTTTCACTTTCTGTCTCTCTGTCAAGTGCACGCGCCCTATAGCAAAAACTTCTCCAAAAAAAAAAAAAGAAAAGAAAAGAAAATATCCCAAATTAATTTGACAAAACCAGCAGAATCACACTGAAAAGATAACAGTGAGAAAAAAATTCCTCAAATTTGACAAGAAAACCTTTAAAAAACACTAGCAAATACTCAGTATCATGAAAAATAACGACATTCCAAAACACAGTGAGTAAGGATTGTATCAAGCTATAGTGAAATATCTGGCTGGAAATGCATGAACGCTCCCGCTGCACAGGAAGACGCAGAAAGAGTGGGAAGGATGACCAGAGCCTGAGAGGAGCCTGAGCCCCAGCCTCCCACCCACACACTGCTGTGCATGGATGCCTTGTCACACGCACGGCACTCTGGGATGACACACTGCCCTGTGGGAGCTTCACAGCTACAGATATTTCTGAACATAAAAATGAGGAGACTCAGGCATACATGTGTTGCTTTAGTAACTAAAAATCTCATCATGGGTACCAAAAATAGGCAGTTTTACAAAGTGCTGAGAGTGGCAACTCCCCGAGACCACCTGAGGGAAGAGGGAGCCAGGTGCTACAGGTGACCAGCAGATTCTGCCTACCAACTGCCCCATCTCCTGCTGCCCAGGCCCCCTGACTGCCCTCTGTGCCTCAGTTGTCCCTCAGCCACTGTATGCAACCTCTAGAGTCCCAACCAAGCCTCTTGGGCACCTGGTGTGGTCCCCAGCCTGTGTGGTCCCTGGAGCAAGGTTGGCCCAGCCACCCAGAGACCGGGACTTGGTACTTACTCTGCAACCACCGCTCCCGCCGCAGTTTCAGTTTTTCCTTCTTGGGCAGGATGGTTTTTGTCTCTGTACCTGGGGACAGAGAGCAAAGGGTGAGGCAGCTGTCCAGAATGACAGCTGGAGTCCAAGCCTGAACAGCTGAGGACAAGCCGGGCAGATGCTGAAGGTGCACGGCAGTGCCCCTAGCACCCTGCCACCATGGTGGTGGTAGTCTGTGCCTGGGTGAGACAGCCAGTCTGGCCCTGCCCCTCACAGGGCTCCCTGCTGTTGGGGCCACAGTGGTGAAAGACTCTCTAAGCACAGTGTGTTCTGAGGTGATGGACTGGCTGCCTACCGCTGAACCCCTGGAAAGCCCAGGCAGGCATTTACCAACAAGGAGGCCTGCCCACCACTCCCTACCAGACCTCCAAGGGACACCTGTCCCCACACCCTTGAGCACGCCTCACTGTGACCCTGGCTAGCTGCCCCAGCACCTCCCTTCCACGGAGGCAGACACAGGTATAGGGAGTAAAGAAACTGGAATAGAACAGGTGCTGCATTCCTGTCCTGACCCCTCTCCAGTACAACCCCAAATCTCCCCCATGACCACAGGATGACAGACGTGGACTCTGGACCGCCTGGACTGGAGCTTGGAGAGAACGTGGTAACCCAGAGGAAGGCACCTCTTGCTGTGCTCACCACCCAGGAGAGGCTGATGCAGCACCACCCTGGGTCTCAGGGCAGCAGAAGCAAGTGCTGCCTGGACCTGACAACCCAGGAAATAAGGGCATTGTCCATAGAGCTGGGGGACTCCCAGGCCACAGGAAGGCCACATGGCCACCCCAGTCCTTGGGCAGAGCTGCTGGTGGGCTGACTCACGTGAGAATGACCAAGACAAGACTGTTCTGACCCCTGTAGGTTGGGTCAGAATGCGCTGGACAATGGGCAGAAGGACAGCTTGCTGCACAGGAGAGCAGTTCCATCCATCTTCGAGTTAGGGGTGTCTGGCACCCTGCCCGCCCCAGGCTCCAGCCCACATGGACACAGGGGTAAGAGGTTGGAGGTGGGGAATAGGTGGAGGAGTGGAGTAGGACAACACAGGGAGCAACACAGGGAGCAACACAGGGAGCCCGGTGACGGCACGGGAACGAGGGGCTGATGCTGAGGAGCCTGGGAAGACCCTGCTAGGCAGTACTAATGAGCACCCCCTTGCATCTGTTGCCCTGAGCCCAGATACGTAGAGCCCCAGCCACAGGTCCACGTCTGTGCCAGAGCTGTCGAGCCAGGGCCTCACTGTGCCCACTATCAGACTGAGGAAAGACCCACTTCTCTTCAGATGGAGGCTCCAGCGGAGGCACGCGTATCCTTAGCCTTCACTGACTTTCCCTGAAGGACACGGTTTCAGCCTTAAGACACACATCCCCAAAACACACCTCCATAGGGTGCATGTCCAGAATTCTGTGATTCCTGTGCATTTCCCTGGCCAGTTCGCAGCTCCATGAGGCTGGAGGAAAGACAAAGTAGAAACAGTTCTGGCGAGGAAGGCGGCCATCCTGGAGCGACTTCAGATTTCACTGCAGGACCAGTACGAAGCCTGCCAAGTCCGTGACGCTGCAGGGAGTGTAATCCCTCCAGTCCTGGATGCCGGCAGCCCTGCGTGTCCCTCAGACGTGCTTGCGCTGACCTACTTTCCTCCACACTCATCCCTGACTTCACTCCCTGACCAGGGGCAGGGAAGCTGCGACCTTGCTATCACTCTCAGCCGCAGGGCTGCTCAATATGGGGAGTGAGGCTGCATGGGGCCGACAGTGAGCCAGCCCCTGGGATCCCTGACGCACCTCTGGCTGATCTGGCCACAGACCCCCCTCTTGTCCCGCACACACACATTAGTCACCAGGCCTGGGGTGAGAGCAGCTCTGTGTGGTGTCACAGGCCAGGGGGTTAAGGGGTGAAGAAGTAAGGTGTCCATGAGGTTGGGCACAGCACCAGACATAAACATGGGGGCGGTCAGGGCTGCAACTGGGTTGGGGGACCTCTTTGGGGCACATAGAGGCTGGCTAGGAAGTGGGGTTGGCCCTGCAAGTCCTGCATTGAGGGGGGCATTATGGCCTCCCAGGAAGTGTCAGCTGAGGACCCCTCACATATAGTAGGAGGTCACTTCATCCAGACCACCACTTGCCTCTCCTTCCGCTCTGAAATGACTCAGAAAGAAAAGGCAGATTCTGAGATGGCAGAACCTGACCCACAGTCACCCACGTGGTGCTGGGATGAAAACGGGGCCAGCCTGGTCAGGAATGTTGAAAATGCTGGCACTAGGCCCCTTCCTGGCTGGGCCCTGGGGAGCTCCCAACACCCAATCTCCATGGCACCAGGGAAACAGGACCCAAACACGCGGTTCCCATCAGCTGCTAAGGACTTGGAACACAGCAGCCCCTGCAGAGACTGCCTGGAACTGCAGGCCCGCAACGCCATATCCTGGCCTGAGGAACAGGAGCAGGAGCTCATAGAGACCTGCCCACCACTCAGAAGCACCTGTCTGCTCCTCCCAACAGCTCAGGGGCACTGAGCGAGACACTGGGGCCAAGGTCACATGCAGACAGGGCAAGTGTGTGCACCCCACACAGATGACAAGCAACCTTATGAAGTCAGCTTGTCTGTGCAGGTTTCTAACTTGGTAATGAGGCACATGGCCAAGCTAGCAGACCAAACCTGTGTGGCTGCGTACTATGAATGTCACGTGAGTAATCACCATAGAAATAGCAGCCCCAGCGAGCAGTCTGCTGAGGGTGGTCCCGAATGCCATCCTGTTTCTAGGCAAGGTGTTCAGTTGTGGTGCTGTCCCAGGCCTACCCCAACCACAGCCAACTGTAGTCATCAGAATGCCGGATGGCCAGGTGGTGACCCGTGGTGTGGGCATGGGCTGCCTAGAAGTCCCTCTGATGAGAAAAGCGAAGCTGAGCCACCGTTGTGGCAGCATGAACTCTGCTCTGGAACATAGCCAAGTGGCTGCCCTATCAGAGCTGTGGCTTCTCAGTTTGAAAAGGGGGCCATGTGGCAATGGCACACAGTGTGGGTGAGGGGTCCTGGTTCTAACAGAGGAGCCTCATGCACCAAGCTTAACTGCCTAAGCTCAGTAAGAAATGACACTACACAAAAGTCACATGGAACTGTGGGCTCACCTGTCCCCAGAGGACGGAGGATAGGTATTGCATCTGTGGAGGATGTAATTCATGGGGTATTGTGGACATGTGTTTTAAAGGAACCATACAGAAAAGCCAAAGTGAGATTGGCTTTTCTGCAAATGACACCAAGAAGCTGTGCCACTCATTTCACGACGAAGATCTGTCTCACGTGTTGGGTGCTGGAATCGTGTCCTGGGCATGGGAGTCAGAAGTAACTACGGTTACAGAGCTATTGCAGAAGCAGGCCCACAGACCTAGAGAATAAGGTGAAGTACTCCGTGCTGTGGCCCCTCTTGACCCTGAGTCCTCGGCACCACAACTGCCTGGTGCACGCAGCCCAAAATGCACCTATAGGGCTGGCTCACCACTGCGGCCAAGAAGCGAATCATCCACCTCACTCTCCACCACAATAAAAGGTCTGGACAGATTTAGTATGTGAAGAAAAAGGGAAACTGTAAACGTGCTACAAAAAATGAAGTCACAAAACACAAAGAAAACAAGTTTTACTACATAGAAATTTAAAACATGTGCAGGGAAAAAACTGAAAGAACAAATTCAAAATGAACTACCAAGGGGGGAAACATCTCCAATACTAAAGCAGGTCACCTTCCTATACAGATTTTGCAAAAGCAATAAAAGACTGACAGACAGTGAGCAGCTGGTATGGTAGTTAGAGCACTGAATTCCCATATGGCCGACCCCAGTTCAGGTCCCGAACCCAACAGCTAGAAAATCATGCCGGGCACATGAGGTTGCATGCCCAAGATCCCAAGAGAACAGAGAAAGGACTAAAATGTGGTTCACGCCCCCCCAGGGTAGGAAGGGTATTATTTCTCACTTTCCCCCTTTGTTTCTCTCTCCAGTGAGTGCATATGCTCTATGGAAAAAAACAAAAACAAAAACAAAAAACACCCAAGACTGATAAAAGAAAAACTGGAAAAGGACACAGACAGACACATTACAGAGAACCAAGGACTAACTGAGCCTCCTTGGTTGGTGAAGAACCACATGTTTTATGACAGGCCCAGTGTCCACCAGGCACACCGGTCTGTGGCATAAATCAGACAGAAGGATATCGGTGGGCACTGACTGGCAGCTCCCACAGGGTGGCATACATAGAAGTGATTTAGCACTATTTACTGACCTCTAAACATTCATATATTTGACTCAGCAATTCTGCTACCAGGTATTTTATTTTGTTTTTAAAGAGAGATTTTTGCTACAGGGTGCAAGCACTCACTAGAGAGACAGAGAGACAGAAAACAAGAAATCACCCCCTAGGGTGGATGGCCATGCTGCAATCCCTTCTCCTCCATTCTTCTTTCAGGATTTTGGGCACGCAAAGAACATGTGCCCCACGTGAGTTTGAGGCTAGCAGGTATGGGACTCAAACCACTGTTGACGACATGGGGAGTCCAGTGACGTAACCATTGCGCCATCTGCTGCTCCTTGCCACCAAGTTTTATGTACATGCACTCATATTCACAAAGACTTGTCTCAAGGACGTTCCCTTCAGTACCATCTCATCATACAAAACCTCAGCCCTGAGGAACAGCATGGAGTGAGGTGTTCCCAGAATGGAACCCAGTGAGGCTCAGTCCCCAGACCAGCACAGAGATGAGGTGTCCCCAGAATAGAGCCCAGTGAGACTCAGTCCTCAAAATGGAGTCCAATGGAGCTCAGTAACCCATAACAGCATGGAGTGAGGTGTTCCCAGAATGGAACCCAGTGAGGCTCAGTCCCCAGACCAGCACAGAGATGAGGTGTCCCCAGAATAGAGCCCAGTGAGACTCAGTCCTCAAAATGGAGTCCAATGGAGCTCAGTAACCCGTAACAGCATGGAGTGAGGTGTCCCTAGAATGGAAGTCAGTGAGGCTCAGTCCCCAGAATGGAGTCCAATGGAGCTCAGTA